AAAATGATTATTGAACTTACTTTAGGAGGCGGATTCTCCACCTTGTCGAGACAATCATTGGTGTGAACCAGACGCTGCTTTCATTCAAATACGATATATCAACCCCACAAAGCGGACACGGAACTGAATCGTTGTGTAGACTATTTCTTTCCTCTTCAATGCTATTGGCTGCTTCTAGCGACGCTTCTTCTTCCTCTCCTTCTTCATCCACTTCATCGCATAGCTTAAGTAACTCATCAAGCTCGTTATCTTCCTCACAATCTTCAATGAATCCCTCGCTTAATGCTGATACCGGCTTTATTAATCTCGACTCTATTGAATTACACAAATATCCCTTGTTCAATTCCAATGACTCATTTTTCTTCTCATCGCATTTTACAGTTCCAGATTCCCTATTTTGAGAAGAATTCAACTCCACACTACAATCCATGCTGGAAGGTATCAAATCCAAGCCGCAAGTATCGTCCAGATCGGTGAGATCGTCGGATCTAGTTTCCGGAACGGTGGAAACGACAGCGTTTTCTTTTCCAGGGTTAGCGGAGCGTTTGCGTTTCTTGAAGGGAGGGTGGGGAGTGTTGGAGGGTTTACGGGGGGGTTTGCATGAGGTAGGTTTGAAGGAAGCTGAAGGGGCTTGAGTTGGGAGAACCTGAAAATCGTCGTCGTCGTCAACGGCGCCCGCGCCGGCGCAGTTTATAAGCTGGGATGCGGAGGATCTTGAGAGCATTGCTTTTGTGTTTGGGAAAGGACTTAGAATTTGAAAATTTTCCGGGGTACAAGTTGGAGGGAAAATGACCTACCCTCCATTCATTTAAACCCAAACCCACCAACGCGTTGGTTTTGAATAATCAAATTTTAGACTCATAATTTGAGTTCAACAGAGTGGACAAAATATAAAATGGGTTAATTTTAAAAACTTGCTTTTATTGGTGGAACGTAACGATAGAGTCTATATTATCCATATTTCATATAATATTCTTAAGATCTTGTTATTCCATTTTTAATATTTATTTGAATTTTAAATCTCTAAGATAAATAATATTTTCTTTTATCATTAAAATTACTTGATAGATTTATTATTTAATTTATTTAAAATATATAAACAGACACTGATATAGTAATAATAAATATACATTAACCCTTAAACTAATATTTTTCTACCTATGATCTCAAATACCATGTAAATTGTTGGATTTTTGTTGATTTAAATATATTTTTTATATATCTAAATTAGATTTTTTCAAGAGTTGAAATTTAAAGAAATTTTTATTATATTTGAACTAGACATTCTTCTAAATTGATATCTCAAAGAATTTTTATTTTGAATTAATATCTGGATTTTAATTTAATTTATCATTTTGCCTTTTTACTAACATTATGGTTTTAATGAGCATTCTTTGCTTCCAAAATCTGTACCTCCGAAGACGATGTCATGGTTTTGGATGAACATATCAAAAAGCCCCTAAACTCAGAGAATGATCCTTTTAATAAAGAATATTAGATTCCTGATCGGTGATGGTAAGTCGATAGAGTTCTGGGAGGACTTTTGGACTGAAGTCCCGAGCTTGAAAACAACCTTCCCTAGATCCCTAGAATTTATGCAGCGGCAGTTAAAAAGGTTGGCCAGGTAATCGATTCAGGATCCAAAATTAATGGAAAGCGAGAATGGAGTATTGAATCAGAAGAGTTTTATTCTCTTGGGAGCTAAATATCTGGGAAGGTTTTATGCAAACGAATAACAAAGCGACCATTCGATGTCTAGAGGTAGATAGAATAAATGGGGTAGGCGCATCGAACGGGCTATACTCTCCAAGAGAATTATGAGCCAAGGTAGCTGTCGAGAAGGGTGAGTTTGGCAAGTTCTGGAAGTTAGTATGGGCTAATCTAGTTCCTCCAAAAGTGGAAGTATTCGTTTGGAGGGCAGTTCTTCAAAGAATCCTAGTATTTGTCAAACTGGCAAAACGAAGAATTGTAAGCTCGGATGCTTGTATTTGCGTGTTGTGTTTTAAAAAAAAGGAATCGATAAATCACTTTTTTTTTTGCCATTGTGAGGTAGTATACAGAGTGTGGCAAAGATGGTTCGCTCATTTGAACCTACAGTTTGTGTGCCCACGTGATGTTAAAGCATTTTTTTCTCCTAGGATGATCAACCGGTCTCAGAGCATTTAAAAAGAGTTGGAGTATCGCATTTTTTGGCTTTGTGTGGACTATTTGGTTAAGCAGGAACGAGAATGTTTTCAAATAAGAAGTTTCAGCGTGGAATAGATCTTTGAAGCTGCTGTGACGAGGATAGGCTTCTGGAGTCAAATGATTTTGCCGATCTTAGTCTCTCGATCCAGGATTTCTCAAATTACCCAACGCCTTAATCTCATTCAGGAGAAATTCTGGTAGGACCTGATGTGTGGTAGATTTAATATCTTTGTTGCGGGATTTTGTAGCTGCTTGATTTCAGCTGTTTTGGTTTAATGCAGTGGTGCTAATGACTCTGATCTATTACAATGGTCCCTCGAGAGTGTATTGAGCTTTCGGTCGTTAGAACAGTTTTTCGTGTCGTCTGTTTTTGTATGTTGGTGTGCAGGTGCTTATGGTAATCGGTCCTTGGGGATGCGTTCACTGGTAGATGCTTTTTCTGATGGTATATGTGTTTCTTTTGGTACTATGGTCATGGTCTTTCATGGAGGTAGTGGGCACTGTCTAATCGTTCGTATACTGAGGTTTTGCTCCAGTTTCGTGATCATTTGTGTTTTATTAATTGGCTTGGCATGGTCTTGCTGTGACTAGATTGAATGGTTCTAGATGTTTGCGGGTTGCAGTTCGGTTGTCATTATGTGAGTGTCGCTGGATGTAGGTTTGTGTCTGATGTTAAACAAGATCGAAGCTACACTAGTTAGTTCCTGTCATGCATTTGCGATATATGGCCTGCCTTGGGGAAAGATCCAATGTTTCGGTTGCTATTTGATATTGCAAATTCTGAAATTGCATTTGATTCATGTTTACCTAGTTTGCAGATTGGTTGTTGTCTACTTTCTTCAGAGTTTTGTGGTAGGTTCGTTTCTGTGAGAATGCGGTAGACGAGCAGCAGCCATGTTCACTTTGGTTCGGTTCATGGTACTTTGTATTGTTTCACTTGTCATGTGAGTTTTTAAATGTAATACAAAACGTTTTTTTTCAAAAAATAAACATTGTTAATTTTTAACGACGTGAAAATATAAGATTGTGTTTACTATTTTTCTAAATTTCATTTTCATTAAAAAAATCTTGTGTTTTTACTCCATTGAAAATTAATATGGTTAATACAAATATTATTAAAATAATTGATTAAATTAAAATTCAGAGAGATTTTTAAGTATAAATTTAAAAAATATGTTTAATTTTGAGTGATAATTTAGAGAAAAAATATATATATTTTAAAAATTATTGTCTAATTCAAATATACTAAATAAATTTAACCCAATTTTATTTAACAAACTTAAAGAGTAGATTAGTGTTTGGCAGACCTAAAAGATTAAAGAGCATGAGTACAAGTAAATTAAGTATACGTAGGCTATGATTAGACTTAAAGAATACGTAGCCTACTTTTAATAATGACCAAGTAAAGATTGAGTCACACGTCCTCGACAATATTTGCACGATGCTTTAACAAAACCGAAGCATCTTGAGTAAATAGACCTTTAAATATTAATTATATGATTAAATCACTCAATTAATTTTTATAACAATCAGGTCATATGTTATCGTGTTAATCGTCATCAATGACCGTATTTAATGGATAATGAATCCTAAATTCTACTATAAGATTCACCTCAATTGCGTTCAATTCATGTGATTAAATTATTGAGAATATCTCTCAAAATTCATTGAATCATTCTAATTTCTTTAAACTTCTTGAGCATCGATTTATGTCGTCTACTATCAGATGACATCATTCTCAAGATATATTCTTTCTCTCATTAATTATAATATTTTTATCCTTCAGATCATCGGATGCATCTCAATCTTCGAGAAGTTCAAAACTCTAAATAAATTTTAGTTTTAGATTATATTTTTAATTAATTGAGTGATTTATTTATAACTTTTTAAAATTGAATGATCTATTGGTAATCTTATTAATAATTAGATAATCTATTTATAATCTTACTAATAATTAGTAATTAGATATAGTTTACCGATAATAAAATTATAAAAAAGGGTAAAGTACACAAATGATTTCTCGACTACATGGCATTTCTTTGTTGAATCTTTCAGCTATTAAAAGTTACAAAATGATACTTGACCATAGGGTATTACTTTGTCTAGTCCCTAAGTATTAAAATTTATAAAATGATCATCCGACTATTCATATGTTCCAAACTGTCATTTTTCGTTAAAAAATTGACAATAATTTGAGCTGAACATTAACATGTTGCTTAAGATGTGATAAAACATGATTCTAAAATCTCAAATAACTATACAAATCAAATGGTTTTAGGATCAAATTTTATCATATACAGTCAGTAGGTTAACATTCAACTAAGACGATCGTCAATTTTTAACAAAAAGAACAAATTTGAAACATATGAATAGTCGGATGACGATTTTGTAACTTTACCCTATAGTCATAAGATCATTTGTGTAGTTTACCCTAAAACAATATTTTGTAATTATGCTAACACCAGTCTCATGTTTAACGACTCAATACAATAATACGTGTGTGACCATTATTAGCTTTGGGATCCAGGCAGCCAATGCTTAATGGTGTAAGCACAAGGGTTAGAATTTAAGATTCAGTATGAGGCTATCCTGTAATCTTGGACTACGAAATAGATGAATTTAATGAGTTGAAAGCTAAAAGGCGGTTGGGCTAGTGTAGAAAGGGCTGTGCGAATCTTGTAATCCATCTGTGGATATGTTATTCAACTGATGTAGTAGTTAGACTGTTACACTGATTATGATGATATAATTTGACTGTTAACTGATAATCCATGTTATAAACTTATAATGGAATTGATATATTTATTCAGTGCATGTGCATGTTTTACATTCTGTGGTTTATTGCAGTTGCTGACACATTACTTTGGAAGAATAAAAGGCAGACACTGGCAGTTCTGTTAGCATTGGTTGCAATTTACTACAACTTCATTGCTTCGGGTGCTACAATTATCACTGCAGTTTCAAAGCTTCTCTTGTTGTCACTATTTTTATTGTTCATCCATGGCAGTTTGCCGAATAGAATGTATGTACCAAACCACTTGGCTTAAAAAGAAAAGATTAACGTAATCTTGGTCTCGAAAAAAAATGCATGCTCCGAATCAGGCACTTTTCTTGATTTTATATACTCTGGGTCCTAATTATTACTGGGAAGGCTAAACAAGCAAGATTTTCTAATGCTGAGCACAATAACTGATATACAGTAGAGAAAATTCCAGCATCAAATTTCCACTTATCAGAAGAGAAATCAAGGAACATTGTTATGTTGATGGTTTCGACCTGGAATGGCGGTGTTAATGCTTTGAAATCTCTTTGCAAGGGGAAGGATTGGATACTTCTCTTCAGGGTATTTGTGTGCTTTCGAATATATTAGATGTCTAGTACCAATAACCTCTCCGTTTTCTGAACTTAAATACTATAAATTGATTGCACCTCATGAAAAATTGTGTAAGACAATGCGACCTCTGGACTTCATCTCTTATGTTGCATGTTCATAGTCTTTTAGATGGTAAATGATTGATCACTAAACTTAAACTGGGTCCTCAGTTCTTTGCGTTGGAGATCAGTAAGTATATACACAATAGGTTCACTCTGTTAAACATGAGCTCATATGCTTAAACTACCAACCTTCCTTTTCTCTTTCATTTCTCTGCCAGTCATTGGCCTGTTATGCCTCTATTACTAGACTTAATTTATATGAGCTCATATGCTTAAACTACCAACCTTTTCTCTTATATGTTGTTCACTGTGAAATGACAAACACTCTTAATGTGAAAAATTATGGTGGCTGTAATCATTTTGGTGTAACTTTTTCTCTGCAATAAAACAGGTGTTTTTTTCTTTACTGCTTCTAAGCTTCCTTGGAGCCGTATCTTTTCACTGTTTTTGTCATAGGTTCACCCCTTCTCCCTCTCTCTTTCACACTCACATAAGCACACCGGAAAAGATGCTTAGGCACCTGCAAACATATATCAAGGGTAATGTATCTGTATCATTGAACATGGAAGAAGTATTTTATTAATACTCCAGGGCAGCAAATGTTGCCTGTCTTACATAAAATAATCTGAAATTTCAGTTCTGTACAAAGCATTGTCATAGGCTTGTTTCCTTCGATAAGCTTATTCTTTATAATTCTCTCACCGCAATAAAAAACTTATTACTGCAGGACTTCCCCTCGCCTTTATAGCTTTCTATGTATTCGACAAAAAGGAGCAAGAAATCGATTCTTTCATTCTAGAAGCTTTATCAACGGTGTGCAAATTGAAATCTGGTATTTCCAGGAAGATAGTGTCCTCCAAGAAGAATGACTGATAGCATACTACACCATTGGGAACTTGACATCATGGGGAGAAGTACTATCAATTATTTTGAGCTCTTTTCCGAGGACTTTAAGCATATGGACATGTAACATTGCCACTTTGTAATTTAGTCATTTCAGTTCTGAACGATTCATTTCGAGACTCCATATAATTAGATCTATGGCATCACTTTGGTTCACCTGTATGTATTCCGTTGGAATGTTTGATGCCCTATCCCCTTTGGATTGTATACTTGAGTTTATTTTGGGTTAGTGTACCCTTCTGTTTTCGATTTGATGAATTAAAGGACTTCCATTACCGATTTAATCGATCAACCTCATATTTCAGTTCTGTTTCCATTATCAACTTCAGCAAAGAATTTCAAGTAGTAGGGCGGTTGGTTGGTTTGATTAATGAATTGAATTTGGTTGAGGTTAGATTTTAGTTGAAGTTTTTTATGTTATAAAATTGAAAATTCATCGTAAGTCGACTCAATAATTGACCGATGTAAAAAAAGTTGATGTAAAAAAACCTCTATTTCCGATTGGCCAATTTGAACATATATTCAGCGTCGATGGCTCAACATTTTTGCATTACGGCGTCTACAATTGTTTATGCCAACCGAAAGCTACGGCAGACTGCGAAGGCCTGATTTTCAAAAGAATTGATTTCTTTGGGAGTTCTAATGGAAGAGATGAAGTATTCATTAGCATGGCATGTTGGACTATGGGCAATTTACACAAGTAGATTGATATTTTGTTGCGACTCAGTATCGGGGCAGAAAAGATAGATAGCAAACATCACCTTCCATGGCATTCTCGACCATCTTGAATTAGAATTCCAAGGTTTCCTCGATAACAATCTTCCCACGCTGTTCAAGCTCGTAAAGCATAAATAGTGCCGCAGAATCCATAGAACTTTTCTTGTCAGCTTTTGTGTCACCAGAGCATTCCATAATGTCATATCCCGGGACATTCAAGGTGATTTTCGACACAAAGCTGATAAACCCTTTTCTTCTCTCGGTACCTTCGCCGATTTCCATTGGAGTGCTGCATAAGGAAAGGGTAAATGAGGCTAGAAACACTGGAGAAGTAGCTACATTGATTTGTATATGAATATTCATAAGAAAGATACCTTGATTTGTGTTCTGTTGGTTGGATTGTAGGCATAGGCCATAGCAGTTTCTTACACAGCTCGAAAAGCGTACTCCTTGGTCCTCCTTTCTTTGTCTTTATCGTTACCATAACTAAAAAAACAGAGAAGAAAATGTCACGGACATGTTCGCATAAAGCACAAAAACATAAACTAAAAGACAACCTAATTCATAACTTAATGGAACCAATAAGAGATGGTGAATCCTTCTTTGCTTTTTACGAGAGCACACCGAAAACGTAGAAATCTCATATCTTACAAACAAACGTAGTAATCCAATAACACCAATTTTACGTTTAAAGCCTATCTGATTTATTGACCATGCACCCTATACTAATATATCAGTTTGATTTCTTAAGACAATGCCATTATGTAAAGATACGTATGCTCATTTGCTAATATTTGAGTTCGACTTTTTTTTATAACTGAATGTTGCATACCTGGGGTGGCAGGGGTAGCACCGCATGCTACCTTCGAATCATCAAGCAACTGAGTTTCGGGTCTCTTTTGCCTCTTATGGATTGTTGGTTCTAACGATTCATCATCAACGGTTTGATTTGAATCCGCACAGTCATGTTTCTTTCTCTTACGGGAGATTCCTCTGTTCTGTTGACATCGAATAACAGGAACATTGACAATGTGAATGCCAACAATCAGTTCACTCAACATGCATCGATGAATTTGACTGAAACCTAAAAGGGAATTAAACATATCGAAAGATCCCCCTACAGAAATGCAGACTATAGATGCATATGATCACCAATTGTAAAGCATGACATAAAAAATATATATTACAAAAAGAAGGAAACTTGTGATTGTTCATAGGAAAGTGGGGACTGGTGACTGAGGAGTGAAGAATCATTGTGAAGTTAACGGCTTTAATATGTGTGTACCTCAAGTTGCTTCAACAAATTCGAAGCTGCTTTTCCTTTCGCTACTTTTCTACTTCTATCAAACCCCTCTCCGACCAACAGGTCATGATCTAGCTGCAATAGAAGCTCGGCATGCACCACTTCCCCCATATTTGCACATTTTTCCTTGATAAAATATCCAAGAGAGTCACATAATTCATTCAGTTCCCGAAGCGGAGGCAGTTCAAGCTTATCTGGGGTCACAATTGGAGACAACAGTGGTTCAACAATTCTCCAGACTTCGTCAAGATTCAGGTTCGTATCAATCAGAATTGCCCCAACAATACTTTCAACTAGGTCTCCAAGAGCCTGTAACAAAGAAAGTGGCATCATCAATAATTGCCTCGATTAAACAAGCCATATGGTATACATGGAAAGTGTATAAAAAACAGTAATGGAAAATAATAGAGCCGTACAATACATCTCTAATTCTGCACCAACAAAAAAAATTGATGATAAACAAATAATTGACTGTACCTTGGGACCTTTTATCCCAGGATCTGATCTGGTGGTGTTTTGAGAATCAGTGAAGGATTGTACATATTCACTTATTTGGTCTGTTAGTAGAGCTGAACTATGTTGAAGATGTTTATAAAGGTTGTGGCGCACGGCAACTTGAGCAAAACTTTCATTATTAACTGTAGCGGACCGCAGGTCGGTCAACTCTCCTGGATCTATATCAGTGTGATTGTGGTAGAGATATTGGGTGATCAGCAAGTCCAACACAGAATCACCAAGAAATTCGAGCCTCTAGAAAAAAATTCAATTCGTAAAAGGGTGAGATCACATAAGGTCTAAACCAATGTTTACAATTTTCCAAGAAAAAGGAAAAAAAATGAACTCGTACACGTATAGAGAACTACTTTAACTACCTGGTAACAGTAGAACTCATGCGCAGATTCATGTGTCAAGGCCTCCTGTAAGAGGAACTTAACAGAAAAGTTGTAGCCAACTTTTGACTCTATATCGTGGATTTCATTACTGGGTAGATAATTTCGCAGGGATGCTTGATTAATGACTTCAGAAACCATAGAGGGATCAAGTTCAGCATCAACCCCGAGCCACTTCATCACATGAAGGGCAGCAACAAGTCCACCACTTACGAAGTATGCTCCTATGAGAGCTTCAACACAATCTGATACGGTTTTTGAACACATCCATCGGTGGCCTCTATCACATGATTTTCCAACCTTAATTTTGGGGTCTTCGGTCTGAAAAGTTTTATCCAAAGGAACTTCTAGAGATTCCACTCCACACTTGCAAGGAACCGGGCGAAGAGATTGTTGTCCGGGAGCAACCCAGCGACGGGGATCAAAAGCACCGTCCCTAATGTATCCCTGTTACGTAAGAAATAAAAGCAATGTAACAATCAACAGCTTGTAACACTAGTAAATTTTCCAGAAAGGGCATAAACAATATAAAGTTGAGCACAACGGGTTGAATTACAGGCAATAACACCAGACTAATAAACGGATAGAGTTGACAGATATTTTGGTGCCAATGATTCTAGCAAATATAAGGAAATAACACCTGTATTTTGTGGTCAGTTCCCAACTTATGCAGGGTTGAATTACATACTGCCAATGAACGCCTCGAAGATAATTGTCCCTCATGTTTGCTGGGATATTTAAGAAAAACTGTGCAGCTAACAGTGTACTTCAGAACTGAATCCCCAAGTAATTCCAATCTTTCCATGGAAAAACTTTCACAACATCTAAGTGTTGTCAATGCTTCCAGGATCTGTTCAGTTTAATAAATATATCTAATTAGTGTTAAAGGAATGAATCGTTTCGAGACAACCAGAGTTAAAGTGGAGATTTAGAGAACAAACCATTGAGCTTGGAATATCGACGTTGCTAGAATGAAAATTGATCTCTTCTCTAAGTTGGTTAGCCAACATTAACGACTCCAGCCGGTGCATTACTGATGGCAGTAAGTAAAGTGCTTTTAGAACACTTACTGGGACATCAAGGGCAAGCAAAAGCTCAGGGGCATGTGGACATGGAAGCGTGGCTTTTCGTTAACCACGCCAGCTTGTGATGCTTTAGCCGAAACACCTGCTCGGTAATGGGAAAATATTAGAAATCATATGGGCATAAGGTACGATGTTAGTGCTATTTCAGGTTTAAGACCCTATTCAAGTAGCTTGAAATGCCTTGGGAATAATGAACCCAGTAAGATGACTGCAAAACTACATGAGCATTTCATCTGCATAGTCTCTAATTGTAGTATAGCTAAAGTATTTACAAACCTTCATCATTAAAATTCACAAGCAAATTGTGCGGGTTATGGCTCTGCTTTAACAGCAACAAAGGCTGTCGTGGATGTTTCAGCACAATCCCATACCTGGTCAAAACCAGCATTATAATCAGAACCACTTTGGGATGCAGATATAAAAAAGAATATTGGGAACCAACTATCACTTACTTTTTGCAGAAGTATTCAGAGAAGGAAGCAAACCCTGATGAGACCTTATCAACAGTTTCATCAAACGAACTGCCGGCGGTTATATCACTCACAGCCTCAATGACGCAGTAGATTCTTCCAGTGTGAATAGCCAGTACTACCTTATTTCTAAGACCGTTAACATCAACTGAACTGTTAGCAAAGTGAATCATATTGGTTTCCTCATAGTCTGCCACAGGTGAACCAGTATGGTTAAATGATGGATTGCTTCTATCACCATCATATTGCTCTGTGCCTAACAAAGAATTTTTATTTAAAAAGTCTGCAGCAAATGTACAAGATATTATCGCAGGCCAGTTTATTCTCAATTCATTAGCTGAACAATCCTCAAGGGGTAAAAGCAAATACATATGGGATGGACTCCACAAAGAGCTTGTTTTATCACGAAGAAGAAATTCTCTAGGTGTTCCAGATGATTTAGATCCAACAAATAACTTTCCAAACAAGCCATTGAAGAAAATTCCTGAAAGCGCTTTGCTTCCATCATCTAGAATGAAGAAAATGAAAACAAAACAGTGTGAACATGAGATTTAAATAAGTACTTTATGTAGGGGGAAAAACAATTCTGCAACATTTGATTTATTAATACCTGTTCTGCATTCAAATGCACTTGCCCACAGGAAGAAACACTAGCCTTAGCCGTCTTTCCAATCAAGTAAAGATCCATTTCAGTATTCCCCACATCAGCTGCAAGCTTTGATTCAATTAGAAGAACAAATTGGGAATAAATCACAGTAACGATATTGCATTTGAAGTCAAATTTATAGCCAAAGAAAACAGCATCATCGGATTTTTCTCCCCAGCTTCCGCATAAAGCCTGAATGCAAGTTGTTCCATGAAGCTCCTTACGTTTTGTAGTTCCTTGGTACCACAAAAAAAAAGAGAAGGAAAAACAGGATTATGAAGCCAACTTATCTTTTTGAATGCAAATCTTCTTACACACTCATACCGAAGTTGCAAAATCAATCATTAAACACAAATTTCATACTTCAAAAGTGTATGTTATACCTGCACCTGCACCAGAATCAGAATCCTTTCCTTTAGAAACAATAGCATTTTCTGAAGGCCCTTCGATGGATGGAATAAGATGATCATTCAAGGCACCCACTTGATGAAGCTGCTTACATGCTTCTAAGCATACAAGCTGCTTTGCTAAATGAGAATTCCTAGACAGTGGACCAGCTATTGTGTGAAAGGCTGCATTAACAGGTAATGTTAATTTACACTCATATAATCCTTCAGAAGATGTGAACTCGAAACTTGGCTTTGGCGTGTAATATCTACATTAAACAGAGGACAGTACATGCATTAATGTCTTCAAAAAACTCCCAAACATAGTGAAAATGAAAATGAAACAACAATAAAATAACAAGCAGCATACTTGTCACCAGGGAGCTTTCCACAATATCTATGGATGAGGCTAACAGCAGAATCTGCAGTAACTGAAGCTCCCGTAGCATCCACAACAAAAGTATTGGGTTCTTCAAAGGAACAATTTTTTAGAATGCATAGATGAGAATCAGGATCTCTTTTAATTGCTGTATTTGTCATTGAGTACTCACTCCTGATTAAATCATATATTTGATTTCTTTGTTTCAAATTTCCCCTGTCAATACAACAGTTAAAGCCATTATATCATAAAATAGAGACGCCCATGGCGACAAATCTTCTGACAGTCAAAAGTATTACAGGCAAGCAACACATGTATGCTTAACAATAACATAATTCTACCTCTCAAGCATCATGATGAATTCAGAATTGTTCTTCCTAGCTCTTCCTCGAGATTGTATATAACTCCGGACTGTCTTTGGCAGGTCGAAACGTATCACATACCAGCAGTTTGGTACATGAATTCCTTCCTCAACCACATCAGTAGTAAATAATAGGTTCACCTGTGTGAAGCTTTTAATCACTAACCATAAAATATCTAAATATCTGTGCTTATAAGCTATTATATAGATAATGAGATACCTTCCCAGATCGAAATGACTCCAAGGTTTCCTTTGTACTTTTGGTGCCAGGGAATCAACTGATGTATTACTTCCAGTCATATATGATACCATGAAATGTGATAAATAGCTCACTTTCTTCACAAATCTTTCAATTACTTTAGCAGTAATAATTCTTTCAACAAAAATCAGGCACGATACTTGTCTAGTTTCTCTGCCACCATAGAAATAAAAGTAAGCAAACACTGTTATCATATTCCAAAGGCTAGCCACTTAAGTTTCTTATTACCCGAATGATTGGAAAAGTTGAAGTAGTTCATGCAGTTTTGGAGAAATATAGCCAAGATCTACTGCCTTTAAATAGTCAAATCCGGAATTCAGAAAACCTTTATCGCCTGAAACAATGAGAAGTGAACAATTAGTGAGAGAAAAATGTATCAAAGACACATTAACTTAAACTTCTAGAAAAGAAAAGATGGTGTAAACCAGATAAAACAACGGCAAAAGGTACATCACATCATACCGAGGGGAAGGGACTCCCCAATTAAGCATCGGACTTCCTCAAGGAAATTTTGCCACTGCAACACACTTTCTCTATATGCTTCACATTCCTCTTTGGTGTCAATGATGTTCTCTAGACAGACGTTAACAGCCTAGGAAAGAAGTAACATAAAGCACATCATCACAAATGGAAAGACATAGCAGGAAAATAAACTATATAAAGCCCAAGCAAACCTTATCAGTCATTAAACAATGGAGATTGTATAAATTGTTATACACAAGATGAAGACATGTAGGTGGATATTTAAGAAAGACAAGTAGAGAGCTGCTGTCAAACATGTTACCGTCTATGTTACGAAAGACCATTAATTTGATTTCTTTAATTAAGGCTTAGATCATGCTTTTGTTTCTTTCCTTAGGTTTCTTGATTGTCTTTTTAGTTGATATATTTCCCTTCTAAAATAGGTTTTCTAATCATGCAATAAGACCGATCTTTAATGAGTAGTAATGTTTCAATCTCCCTTTGATAAGCTGTTCTATCAATCCCAAACACTCGGTTGCAACAAAACATTACTTTGTTAATTGATTTTTAGATTAATGGATCTATTAAAGTTGAATCAAACAAAAAAGGAGATTATTTATCTTAGTAAATAAATAGTAATTAAAAGACGTATGTGTTAGAAGAGCCGCTTGAATTTTATACAGCATGCAAAAGCAAGACAACACATTTTTCCTCTTAAAGATCATTCTTTTATTCTCTCTAGTTGAAATCTATGACAGCGCAAATCATACCTCATAAGCACATACGAGACCAAGATTGTCAAGACAATGCAGAATCTTAGCATTTTCATTTGATAATCGCTTTTGTAGTGCTTTAAGCTTATCATCCAAGTCTTTATAAGAAACTTGCAGTGAGTCTTGCAACTTCATCAATGATACGTCGGTCTGTCCAGGAAAAATTAAAATGACTTCAACATCCAACATGAAAAGTGTAGACAACAATTGGCATATGCATGTGAATCACGTTATACATGTCCATGGATACCTTTAACCGAGAGGCTTCTACCATTGCTTTCAAATCTGAACTAGAAAATTTCGCTGGATCATAAAACCTACAACTTTCCTTAGCAGTCGGAACATATGTTTCCATCTCTGTCCTGTCTTCAATGGTATATATCTGCAATAGCTCACATCCAAGATATTGTTCGTATCAACATAGGGTTTTCCAGCAAGTCAATCACAGGTAACCAGAACAACTAAATAAAATAAAATAAATACCAAGCAATCCAAAACACTTTCAAGTTCTGACATTTGACCCTCACAATCATCGCTGGAGGAGACACCTGCACAAAGTTGAATCAAAATACCTTTAAAAGCTCCTACACCAATAAACCGAGAAGCACAAGGCTACTAGCTTCAAGTTGATTCTCTTTAGAAATAGATCCCAAATGGTTCAAGCAACTTTACTTTATATTTAGGTAATAGGAACAAAACTCAAGCAACACAGGATTTAAATAAAGGATAAACCTTATGAATAGTAATCGGTAATACCTTACCCTTGCTAACTACAGGTGATGCTGTCATTCCAAAAATCTTCGGCTTGTTCTTGGATTTGTGATAAAATTCCTACACCAGAATAAGGAACACAATAAAATTTCATTTTTAATCAGGAAAAATAACAACAAAAAGAAGAAAAAAAAGTTAATAAATTCTTGCAAAAAGATTTGTGGATTACTGACCTTCATTATTCTCGCATATGGATGGTTGCCAGTAGCACGGTGGCACTCATCTATTATCAATAAGGACACCATCTCTAGACTCAAGAATGCCTTCCTTAAGGTATCCAATAGAATTTGTGGTGTCATCACCAGAACCTATAAGATAGATATTTGTATCAGTTACGCCTTAATTCTAAAAGAGACAGAGGATCCTCAACGCGAGTATACCAGAGCATAAATAAGCATAAAAAATAGCCTCATTATAGCTAATTAATTAGAAAACTTACATCATGACCCTTTACTTCTTTCTCCCAACAATCCGAGGTCCATTCATCAACCCCCATGGCTCCATAATACTGCTTAACTTCCAAACTTGTATGATCTTTTATGTATTCAAATTGCTGCAAACACACACACACACAACCAATGTTCAAGTTTATCACATCAACGGGGGGAAATTTCATACTTTCCACGATCAAAATGCATACCTGGTTAACTAGATGGACAGTGGGGGCCAAGAAAACAATCAACTTTTTACTGTCACCAGACTTAAAAGCTTCACCAAAATCTTTGATGAGCATCACAGCTATCATTGTCTTCCCTACACCTGTATCCAACACTGCTATTATGTTTCTTCTCTTTGCAACCTCATACACCTGCAATTGATACCTACAGAACAAGAAATTAAAGACAAAAAATCAGAATGACACTAAAAATAACCTAACACAAAGGGGGGGCGGGGAGGCAAACCCTCTGGGGTTTAATTCCTCTGGTTTTGAAGATGAAGAATGGTCTTCCATAGCAGCATTATTTCCATCTACAACAATCATATCAGGTGATGGGTCTGCTGAGTTCATCTCACTGAAACTTCTTTTCAGAGGGTTACTCTGCTCCTCCTTTGGAGAATGCATCTAGGTTATGGAGATATCTAACAAGAGAAAAAGACTAAACTTTCACTGAATGGGACTGATTAGTTAAAAAACACACAAAATATGTGAATCCCTAAAGGACTAATAGTGTGATCAGAAAACCGGAGAAAATTGGGCTGTTGAATGGGACTCCAGCAAGGACATGGATTCTAGAAAAATACTGTTCAGGGAATTTTCTAACCATTCATTATTTGGAGCGTATTAGATGATTTGGAAACTATTTCTTAGTATTAGATGATTTGGAGCGTATGCTGTCAGCTGTTTGGTTCACGAGCATTAGAGGGAAAGTGTAAAACACAGCCCAATGTTTATTGGACATGTATGGTAAACCTACTCTTTCTAGTTTCCTGGCTTTTCGTTGTTTGAAGGAAGTCAACGCATTGGCTTTGAGCTGTTGCAAAATATACATTCGTCTTGAAGGTCATGGGTCGTAGTTTTTAGTTTATATCAATTTAATTTGAGCATTTTATGAGTTCGATATAAATATTTTATTTTATAAAATAAAAATTTAATTAAAAATAGATTATAATAATTATTTTGAATCTGATTTGATCTTATTCTTCAAAAAATTCAATTGATCTTGATTCAAACTTAATTTTTCAAAAAATATATATATAATTTTGTAAGATTAAATCGAATCAAAATCCAAAAAATTCAGACTAATTATCCATCCTAATTTTGTTAGTGTATTATGATGCTTTTTGCAGCATATATAGTAAATTCTATTTTTTTATATTTATAAATTTTGGAAATAGTCCCTTCATTTTAAATCTGTATTTTAAATAATGTTTTTGAAGAGATTATTTAAAATTAAAAAAATATTATTTAAATTATATTATTTTAAGTATCTTATTCTTTTTAAATTATTCAAAATCTTTTAGAATTTAAGAATCACATTGAAACAATTCAATTTCATACTCATTTTCGAATGACTTTAACAAAGACAATGGCTTAAGAGAAATCAAAACTAACTCTACTACAGTGGTGAAATTAAGGGGACTGTGTGACGACGGCTTTGATGCTTCTTAATGGAAAAATCATAATCGAAGTCCCTGTAAAATTATTAAGTTTTTATTTAATGTAATGGTGAATTTGTATTTTGGTTCTATAATGATAAAAAAAACTTCAATTTAATTCCTTTAAAAATTATAAAGTTATAATCTAATGCAATGATAAGATTACTTTTTGATTTTTCAGAAATTCATACATAAATTTCAATAATTTAGGTAACCAATATAAAAGGTAAGTTGTGAATTTTCAACCTTTCGACAAATATGTTTGAATCTTCTGTGTATGACGTAAATATCTCATATATATAATTTATATACCATAAAATTTCGATCATATAAAAATAAATTTCTCACATGCTCATGTTACATGGTGATTCTGCATTAGTCACCAAAGAACGAGGCAATTTGATCCGATTCCGCCAACCACAACGATGTCGATCATGTTTTTCCACGCCACGATCCTTCATCGTAAAGAACTCGTTGCTATCATCGGTTTCATTCGGCACTACATAAACAAATGTTCCAACAAATTCATCCACAAACCCTTGAACAGAGTCCAGTATTTTGACCACATCGCCCATGCCCGGCCTCGGCTTCGGCTGGTGGCTCAAGCATTTGTAAGCCAATGCGGCCACCTTTGGGGCGCCCTTGTTGGAAAATTGTCCCTCGAGTCTTGCATCTATTAGCCTGTCAACCTTCATAGAGTCCCTTAACAATGGCCTTGCCCATTCCACAAGGCTCTGTTCTCGACCGGGACGGCTATTGTCCACCGATCGTTTCCCCATCAATAACTCCAATAGAACCACTCCGAAGCTGTATACATCACTCATTGTTGTCAAATGACCTGAAATTAACATAAGAAAAACAAATATATTGATGTTTGATGTACATACTAGGCTGCAAGTTTAATTGAGTGAATTGCACACATCATACCAGTCATGATGTACTCCGGAGCTGCATATCCTTGTGTGCCCATTACTCGTGTCGTTACATGCGTCTCTCCGCATCCTGGACCGTCCTTCGCTAACCCGAAATCGGATAGTTTACAATTGTAATCCTGAAATGAGAATCACATGCACCCAGATCAGCCTTTGAGAACTATCTTCTCTCAGAATTCCATCAAACACTTGAGGAAAAAGGACTCACATAGTCTAATAAGATGTTTGAAGATTTAAAGTCCCTAAATATCACTAGTTTATCTGCTTCGTGTAGGAAGGCCAGACCTTTTGCTGCTCCTAATGCAATTTTCATCCGAGTCGACCATGGTAATGTAGCCGAATACTCTGTAAAATTTGGTATTGAATTGTTTGAAAACATATTCCCATACATATATATATATACATACATACTTTCTGAACTAAAACAACATACTCCTAAAGAGTTGATTTTCTAAGCTTCCTCTTGGCATATATTCATACACCAGGAGCCTGTTATCTTCTTCATAACAATATCCAATCAGCTTAACCAGATGGGGATGCCTCAGTTGACCAAGAAAGATGTGGGACCTTCAAAAGTTCCTTCACAGTTGGCTAAACCACCTACACGTTCAGCATCCTTAAATAACCAGAAAGCAGATACTGTATCCGAAACAACCAGCCAGCCTGCGGAAACTGAAGCAGAAGCAACGCAAACTGAATTGCTGCCACCATCTCCGGAGAATGAATGCACGGACCCTCCCCCAAAAGAGACTCTCATGGAAGAAAGCATTCGACTCACACGCGGTAGATTAAAGAAAACCCGATCTGCCGGCCAATAAAATAATGGTATTAGCTCCTGTTCTTTCAGGTTACTGAATTAGTATTTAAATCAGTAGGCATAGAATGCTATTGAATAATTGGTATTAACATTGATGTAAATTTCTTGTGTTCTAGTTACGATTTCAGTGGTTGAATTGTTGCTTTACTTATGCACGTTTTTATCATCTCACATTGGTGCTCAAGAAATCAACGGCTTAAAATTAATCCTCCAAGTCTCGAGTCTTAATTCAACTTTGGACGCAGAAAATGAGCTTTTAGTTCCTTTCAGCTCGCCCGACCAAAATCACGGGGCATATCCGTAAATGAAACATCGAGAATATAACACCTTAACAGAAAAGCTTGACATTTAATTTCAGGTCATATTCAGAACTGTCGTCCTTTTGTTATTTTAAAATCTTAAGATTTAGTCACTATACTTTAGTTTAACTTAATTTGGTCCTTTTCTTGTTATTCTAGTGAAATTTAATCATCTACTTTTTCATTTCTATCAATTACTCGGAACTATTAATATTGTTAACTATTCTAGTTCAAACAATTATTTTTAATTTGAATAATTTTCATTTTTATTCTAGTTAAAGCAAGTTCATTGGCATTACCCTCTTACACATGTATGTATGTATGTATGTATGTATGTATGTATGTATGTATGTATGTATGTATGTATGTATGTATGTATGTATGTATGTATGTATGTATGTATGTATGTATGTATGTATGTATGTATGTATGTATGTATGTGTATGTATGTATGTATGTATGTATGTATGTATGTATGTATGTATGTATGTATGTATGTATGTATGTATGTATGTATGTATGTATGTATGTATGTATGTATGTATGTATGTATGTATGTATGTATGTATGTATGTATGTATGTATGTATGTATGTATGTATGTATGTATGTATGTATGTATGTATGTATGTATGTATGTATGTATGTATGTATGTATGTATGTATGTATGTATGTATGTATGTATGTATGTATGTATGTATGTATGTATGTATGTATGTATGTATGTATGTATGTATGTATGTATGTATGTATGTATGTATGTATGTATGTATGTATGTATGTATGTATGTATGTATGTATGTATGTATGTATGTATGTATGTATGTATGTATGTATGTATGTATGTATGTATGTATGTATGTATGTATGTGTATGTATGTATGTATGTATGTATGTATGTATGTATGTATGTATGTATGTATGTATGTATGTATGTATGTATGTATGTATGTATGTATGTATGTATGTATGTATGTATGTATGTATGTATGTATGTATGTATGTATGTATGTATGTATGTATGTATGTATGTATGTATGTATGTATGTATGTATGTATGTATGTATGTATGTATGTATGTATGTATGTATGTATGTATGTATGTATGTATGTATGTATGTATGTATGTATGTATGTATGTATGTATGTAGTATGTATGTATGTATGTATGTATGTATGTATGTATGTATGTATGTATGTATGTATGTATGTATGTATGTATGTATGTATGTATGTATGTATGTATGTATGTATGTATGTATGTATGTATGTATGTATGTATGTGTATGTATGTATGTATGTATGTATGTATGTATGTATGTATGTATGTATGTATGTATGTATGTATGTATGTATGTATGTATGTATGTATGTATGTATGTATGTATGTATGTATGTATGTATGTATGTATGTATGTATGTATGTATGTATGTATGTATGTATGTATGTATGTATGTATGTATGTATGTATGTATGTATGTATGTATGTATGTATGTATGTATGTATGTATGTATGTATGTATGTATGTATGTATGTATGTATGTATGTATGTATGTATGTATGTATGTATGTATGTATGTATGTATGTATGTATGTATGTATGTATGTATGTATGTATGTATGTATGTATGTATGTATGTATGTATGTATGTATGTATGTATGTATGTATGTATGTATGTATGTATGTATGTATGTATGTATGTATGTATGTATGTATGTATGTATGTATGTATGTATGTATGTATGTATGTATGTATGTATGTATGTATGTATGTATGTATGTATGTATGTATGTATGTATGTATGTATGTATGTATGTATGTATGTATGTATGTATGTATGTATGTATGTATGTATGTATGTATGTATGTATGTATGTATGTATGTATGTATGTAGTATGTATGTATGTATGTATGTATGTATGTATGTATGTATGTATGTATGTATGTATGTATGTATGTATGTATGTATGTATGTATGTATGTATGTATGTATGTATGTATGTATGTATGTATGTATGTATGTATGTATGTATGTATGTATGTATGTATGTATGTATGTATGTATGTATGTATGTATGTATGTATGTATGTATGTATGTATGTATGTATGTATGTATGTATGTATGTATGTATGTATGTATGTATGTATGTATGTATGTATGTATGTATGTATGTATGTATGTATGTATGTATGTATGTATGTATGTATGTATGTATGTATGTATGTATGTATGTATGTATGTATGTATGTATGTATGTATGTATGTATGTATGTATGTATGTATGTATGTATGTATGTATGTATGTATGTATGTATGTATGTATGTATGTATGTATGTATGTATGTATGTATGTATGTATGTATGTATGTATGTATGTATGTATGTATGTATGTATGTATGTATGTATGTATGTATGTATGTATGTATGTATGTATGTATGTATGTATGTATGTATGTATGTATGTATGTATGTATGTATGTATGTATGTATGTATGTATGTATGTATGTATGTATGTATGTATGTATGTATGTATGTATGTATGTATGTATGTATGTATGTATGTATGTATGTATGTATGTATGTATGTATGTATGTATGTATGTATGTATGTATGTATGTATGTATGTATGTATGTATGTATGTATGTATGTATGTATGTATGTATGTATGTATGTATGTATGTATGTATGTATGTATGTATGTATGTATGTATGTATGTATGTATGTATGTATGTATGTATGTATGTATGTATGTATGTATGTATGTATGTATGTGTATATGTATGTATGTATGTATGTATGTATGTATGTATGTATGTATGTATGTATGTATGTATGTATGTATGTATGTATGTATGTATGTATGTATGTATGTATGTATGTGTAACACCCCAACCCGTACCCGACTTGAATACGAGTCCGAGATGTCACATTGACATTTTTCAAAACCTTTACTCTTGTAAAGGTACTGAACATTTGAATTTATATTAAGAAAATACAGTCAAATATTATTCAATTGTGTGTTGTATAAAAATTTGAGATAAAAACGTTTTTATGAACGGTGAAATACGATATGAACAGTAATACAGTAACCTGCTACCGTGATTTTTCATAAATTGTACATAACACTCGTAACAATTTAACAGTTCATTTCTTTGCATTTGTACTTATATATATATGTTTAAAAGATTACAAAACTCGATCAGAGCATAATACCTAATTTACCTACTTTAATTACATGCCAACCTATTTATCATAATAATACATACTGTGTAATTTACTTCTGATCTGGTCTTTGGGCAGAGATATGTTGTTACTTTGAACTTAGCTTTGATCATTCTGCTTCTCAGTACCTACGTGTAAATCACTTACACGCTAAGTCATAGACTTAGTGAAGCAAAAACATAATAACAATAATGCATTTCTCATAAATATAAACATTCAATCTATGAATTCAATCGAGTCACATATAATTCAGTATACATGATAACCTGAGATAATATAAGTACTTTTAGTACCTTTTTATCATATAACTACATATCGAACATTTCTCTACATACCATGGAACACATATACTACTTCACAACAAAACATACATAGTAGCAAATCAATTTATTTATTTACTCTCTGTAAAGACCATGTATTAGCCCATGTATACTTTTGAGAACTCAAGGTATGTGAGTACATTGAGGTTGTGCACCACTATGCTGTCACAACAGCTCGATCAATGTCCCGAAGGACCAGTCCATAGATTCTGAAGAACCTAGGTAAACAGTCCATATGTTCCGAAGAACATAGGTAAACAGTCCGTATGTCCCGAAGAACATAGGTAAACAGTCCGTATGTCCCGAAGAACATAGGTAAACAGTCCGTATGTCCCGAAGAACATAGGTAACCCTCGACCCTTGGCATGCCAACTATACCCCTAGCTCTCATATCACATAACATGGGCATTATCATTTATGACCGATCACATTACTTATTCATATTCTTACTCTTATAAACACATATCGTTTCTTTTCAGTCACGTATTACATATACGTGTAATCCTTGATCTCATAATCACATGTTCCTTCTCTTCTATCACATACCAAATGTATGTGTAAACACATATCTAATATCATATGTTGCCTTTTCATGTAAGCATGTAAATCATGTAACATATAAACATACATCCATTTCTATGTACTAATGCATACAGAGTAATCACATAACATTATATAAGTTACTTCTTACCATAGTAACTCTATCATTGACTCATCGCAAGCCAATGTTTGATCAATCACATAAGTACAATTTAAATTGCACTCACCTTAGCCTTGCTTTGATTCGATTATTCCGGAACTTGTTTAGGCTCAATATCTACATAAATATATCATTTCAAACAACTATCAGAAGCCTAAACTTTAAACTTGATGTTAATAACTTAAAACCGATTTAATAAATCGAATTCTATATTTCATTTAGGGGGGAATCGATACCCCCCCCAGGGAATCGATACCCCCTGAACCTACTGGAATTTTTCGTTCAAGAGGGGGAATCGATTCCCATTCATAGGGTATCGGTTCCCTCTACCCAGAAATTGCATTCTAAGCTCGAAAATCATCAATTTTCAACTCAAACCTTCCTATTTTACTTCCTTTAATACTCCTAACTTTAATACACATACTTAAACTTATTTCTA